TCATCTCCCAGTTCAGGTTTTGCTGTAAAGCTGCAAAGATAAGTTCATGGTGTTTCCTCTGGAGCCGTGTGAAATTTCTCAGTAGCAGAAACCACCATCTCATCCCCCTTCTTGGCATTGCAGATTTCCTCCCTGCTATGGCTGAGGCCCACTGTGGCTCGGTACCAGCCCATCCCCCAACCTCCAAGAGAAGGTTTTGTTGCTTTTCCTATACATGATGGTCAGATAGTTTTTAAAATTTTCTTCCTTGAGGAAGAACAAGGAAGGGGTGGATCATCTGTTTACTGTCATGTTTAGCCCTCTCCTTTGGCCAGCCACCAGGAAGATCAGTCAGCTCAAGGAGAGAAAGGTAAGGAGAGCTGCTGGGCTCTGTGCTGTGATAAAAAAAAAATGTTGCTTCTAACTAAGAAGGCAAAGATTGTGGCTGTGGGGAATGCCTTACAGAATGTTCAACAATGTTCAGTAGAATGTTCAATGCCTTATAGAATGTTCAGAGGCCTATTGCTGAAGTATCCTATTGCTTTTATCTAACAGAACTGAATGCACTACAAACTGCACTGGGAAATGACCAATTTGCTATCCTTGGCTTCCCATGCAATCAATTTGGAAAACAAGAACCTGGACAGAATTCTGAAATCCTCCTAGGACTAAAGTGAGTACATGCAAGGAATTCATTTCTGGTTATGCTAGTCATATAGGATTATGTTAACTTTGCCAGACTTCCCAACTGTAGATTGCTGTCTCCCTCTGTGGCTTTATCATTTATTCTTTAATGGGCTTACATTTGGGTATCGCCAGTGTATACCTATTGTTAGGCTCGTTGGCCTGTTCCTAAACCAGAAATGATTATTCTTCAAACACAATTCTCAGTCTCTTTTGCAAGGTTTATTGGGGAGAAAGCATTGGAGTTACTACAATTCTGACAAATGAATTAGTTCCCATCTCAAACCAATATACCCAGAAGTTAATGGGGAGACCTCTCTGTTTTCAACTACTTTCCTGTAACCCAGAAAGCCACTTAGTCTTTTCACTGATAACAGGGCTTGCAACTGGTGGTTTACACAATGGTCTCCTAATTCTTTTATCAGCCTGGGAACCAGTCATTACATCTATCCATTCTGTATCTTGATGAAAATTGGGCATATCAATGGACCTTTTCATCCAAGAATGGATTGGCATTTGATGCCTGTAGGCCACACTTATGTAGGGTATGTTTTGGGGTGATTGAAGACTTAAATTAGCAGAATGATTAGTGGTACTTTCAGATTGGTTTTATGATTTGGGAAGTCCCTCACCCCTGCCACGGATTAGACATGCTATGCCAAACATGTCATCTTTGACATCCCATCTACCACCCCCCAAAAATCAGCAAGACATTTACATTCAACACTGTCAACAATTTCAATAGTGTGAGTTGTTGGAGCTTCAAGGGTCATAACATAAAGGGATGGGGACTGTTTGTGTCTCACCTGTGCAGGTTTGGACTTTTCTCCAAGCAATGGTTTTTAAAAAAATTATATCAGTATCTGCACAGCCAGATATATAGGCCTGTAGGGGCAAAGACACTGAATATCAGCTCTCATACAGAAGTGGGAAGTTGTCCTCAAAATACAGTAGGCTGTTTCTTGCTGCTCTCTCTCTGAAAGGGACTATTAATATTCTCCTTTTGTTCCAGACATGTCAGACCTGGGGGAGGCTTCGTCCCTAATTTCCAGCTCTTTCAGAAAGGAGATGTAAATGGGGAGAACGAACAGAAAATTTACACCTTCCTGAAGGTTTGAATTGGCTGCACTATTTCACAGATGATGAGCAATAATATTTTGATATTAGGGACAAGCCTCTAATGCCTCAATCTTAAAATTTCACCTATTCGTGCAATTTTCATGTAGGCAGAAAAGTGTGTGTGTCGGGGGGGGGGAGGATTTTCCCACTGTTTTAGCTAACTTCTTGTCACACTGAAAATCTACCTTTGGAGGGACAGAAAATCTTCTGGGTGTTGTGGTACTAGAGGGCTGCAGAGTCTCAGCAAAAATTACCTTTCTCCCTGGTGATAGTTGGAGGCTTCAATGCAGTGGCACATTTTCTTATTCATGACAGAGCAAGGTGGAATCCAAAATTATACATGTTATTTATGCAAACCAAAACCAAAATGGAATTGCTTAGAAAGTGAGGCATTGCCACCCAGTCACTTTTATGTGAGATGGGCGGCTATATAAATATATAAAAATAAAATAAATTACTAGATTTTAAGTATCATTCTGCAATGCTACAGTAGAGCAAATCAGCTTAGAATAGAACAATTTGTAGCTTCATAATAATTTGAATATATGTCTATATAATATATTTTATATAATAAATATGCCTTCTTATAGACTTTGTTCCCAGTTACCTACATCTCTCTCTCCATCCTGCCCACCCCTGTGCCATTAGACTAAAGATGAAAAACCTTACAATTCTAATTCTAGAAACAATAACAAAAATAACTGCTATTTTTTTTCCTGATAGAACTCCTGTCCACCTGTTGTGGAAAACTTTGGTGACCCCGCGAAACTCTTCTGGTCGCCTCTGAAGCTCCATGATATTAAATGGAACTTTGAGAAATTTTTGGTTGGTCCTGATGGAAAGCCCTTGATGAGGTGGTTTCACCGGACAAATGTTGCTACTGTGAAGAATGATATTCTAAGAATCATAAGGAAAAACACCACAAATGGATAGACTCCATGCAAATGATGGATTCAAGGAGGGGAGGGAGACTGCAGACATATCCAGACATACTCATTTTCTTCTGTCAAACAGCCAATCATCGAAATATCCTTTATTCAAAGCTAAAAAAAAGTTAAGATAGAATTCACCCTAGAAGGTGCCAGTTCATACACTATTACTGATAAAGTTTAACATCAAAATTGTTAATCTTAACTGACATATTTCCAAGCATAACTTTACAAAAGGAAGTTGACCTCAGTTTACTCCAGTGATTGCTTTAATTTCCACAGGATGAACATAGTATTGGGAAACCATTTTAGTTACTTCTGATACTGCTTCAAAAGTCTGTTACTAGTGCAGCACAAAAACAAGAGGACCTTTGGGTTTTGTACCTCTAGGATATTATAGTACTAAAGAAAAGTGGAGACTATTCCTCACTTTCATTATTAACATATTGATGCAAAACATTCTCTACAAATTTTAAAAACAACAAAATTAAGGATAATTTTTTAAAATGACTAGCTGTACGTTGAACCATTGTGTCGCAATGTTAAAGTCCATCTAGTTTATTTTTAGCAATTTAAACTCATTTCCAACATTGTGTGAATATTAAATGCTACATTCATTAAGAGTTTCCCACTTAATTTTGTTGTTTTAAATTGCTAAGATATTTTGTTCTTAGCAAAATATCATCAGTCATAACTCAGGCCAAGCTATGCTTGTTCTCCACATAACCAAGAGTCTCATGGCACCTTTAGGCTGCAGATTTGTAGTCTTTGTAAGAGACTCTCTCACATCCCCAGCATACTCATGCCCTCCCCCATTGACTCTTATGTACAATCCTTACTCACTATCTGGGTTACACACAGTTCTATTGGAAATAGGATTTCCCCTCCAAAATAGATGGATTTAATAGCCTTGGCATTTCTGGATAAAGTACAGTTTATTTCCCTTCCTCAAAATACAGAACAGAACCTCACGTAGCGAATTTATGAACTGGAATTTCTCAAATGACTTTGTTTCTGAGACAAGTGGAAGGAAGATGGGACAAAGGATTTATGGGGCAAGGAAAATGCATCAGAATGACGGTTAGGTCTGAAAACTCCCTAAGAGTGGGACCTGGCCTAAGACTGCAAGGCAGTGGAGTAGTTCTTAAGTGCATTCAGCTACTTCACTACAATCTTTGCAGAGATGTATTCCTTCCTATTAGTCCCCAAATCCCAGCTTCTCTGACCTCCACATCTACTGTGTAAGAACACTGCCTAATAAAAACAGCAAATTCTCAATGCACTTGTGTTGTTGGAGACTCTCTTTTAATGCAGATCAGCCTTCTGTTTTACTACTTTCATCACACAGCCACTTTCCTACTATGAAAGAGCTGAAATCTTAGGTTTGACCATATCGCAGCTGTCAGGTATATCACATTTATACAATGTTACATATAATGGTAACTTTCACACAGATATAGAATGTAGGTCACTGTTGTTAATTCCATATTCAAGGGCAGCAGCTCAAAAACACTGCTGTATCTAGGCTGCAGGACTCTGGATGCCCACTAAATGACATCAAACTTTTAATTTTTTCTGCATCTTTTTGCTGCCTTCTAGAGGTTTTCTGGATTTCGAAAGCCCAGATCTGTTAGCTCTCATGCTTGCAGAGTTAAATAGAGGATTTCTAGGTTTATAGCTCACCATGTTTGGTGCCAGGATAGCATGCATTAAAAACACACGTGTGATACACACTATTCTACGCTAAATATATTCTCCATGATTTCAAGCATGAATTCATAAAGGTAGGAAAGGTAGCTGTGCTTTTTCTTGGATTTCATTTCATAATTATCCAGCTTCAAAGACAAGAGAAAATCCAAGCAGTGTGTGAAAACTTTTTTTCCTTTTACCTGCATTGCAGGGAATTGTTTGGGGGGCATAAAGGAAAAAATACACTTTTTCCTCCCACATACCTCTTTTTCCTTTCATAGCAATCTGAAAGGTATCTAATAAAAACACAGCATACTACAAAGACACATTTAGTAAGACAGCAAAGCTCAGATATAAAACTCTAGGCACAGCCCAGGAAAATTTGTATTTTATTAAACTGAATATATTTAAGATAATTTTGCACAAGTTATCCAATGCTTTTTTGAAACCAGAATATTAGCTAGTAAAATATTAGCCTACATAAACACAGTGGCAACTTATACTAAGAGCTTCTCAAAATGTTTTGGAAAGAGGTCTCCACTTAGAGACTGTAGACAGGCAAAACATTCAATCCTATTATGTCTCTTCTTTTACCTCTTCCTACAATACAATTTATTCTATAATAATTGACAGACACTTCCCTATGACAAAAGCTAAACTCAGTGAAAATATTTTTTTAAAAAAAGAGAAGAGGCTTACAGATTCTTCACAACACTCATGTTCTGCATTTTTCTTTGCACTGTGAACCCTCTAAAATTATTTTTCCTTTCCTTTATTTGGTAAAGAAAAAGAAAACACACAATTATTTCTCAATTATGTGCTTATGGGTGAACATGAATTCTAGTTTCAAATGAGCATATTTATTCCATGTTTTACAGGAGCATGTAACAAGCAATTTATGCCACTTCCAGTGCTACGCACTTTGAAAATTGCTTGGCTGGTTCAGCATTTCATCCCTCCGAGGGATCAGTAATGTGTTTAAAAAAATAAAGACCACTCATCATACATCTATCCCATTTAAATCATGTGAGGGCCAAAGAGACCCTTTTTCCAACAGAAGAAAATTAGAACTGCATTGTTAGATCAGGGAACAGATGTATCTAGTCTACAAGCTAGGTTCAAGAGTAACTAGGAATGTGACAAAACAGAAGCTGGGAAGTGAAATCTGAAGCCTATTCCCACTGAGCAGCTTAAATAATCAGATGTAATTCCATAATGCAACATGCAGTAAGATTCCTGAAGAACTGGAATATACTTCCAACTAAGAGGGAGCAAAAAGGGCTGCCATATTTTAGGGGTAGGTGGGCTGGGGGCGGGTAATTAAACTAATATAAACAGTTTTCAATTCAAATTAACATTCACTGGGGTTAAAGTATTTATTGACAACTACAAGTCTGAACGTGTGTGTGTGTGTGTGTGTAATTCATTCAGAGTAGGAAAAGTATCTTTCATTTTTATTCCTATACATTATATAGACAAACATGAGAAGATCTCTTCGTCCTTGTGCAACCGCTGAATCCTGAACTTGTATAGGGATTAGTTACTATACAAGGATCGCTGTCCTGCCCAAAGCATGCTTCCACTGCCAACAAATGCTAGATATACACTGCCAACACATCCTAGATATACAGCTGCTCTACTGTAAGAGAATCAGTCAAACACAGGTCCTGTGAACCCAGAAATCCTAGTGTTCGTTGCTGGAGCTTATCGGTTCTTCTCTTACAGCTGAGTCTTTGAATGCAGGAGGAGAAAAAGTAGTGGATCCAAATACTGAGAGAAAACAAGATCTGGAGATTTCAGAAGGACAGATTTTCCAAAAGCACTGGGTCACTGGTTGCTTCTTGGCACCATCTGCCATTCATTGTTGGAAAATCCTGCTAAAAGTGCTTATTATCTCAAGCATCCAAGCGGCGTGGATCTTTTTACACACAAATAAATGTGACCAATGTCCAGAAGTAAAGAAGGTGAGCTGGACAAACACATGATGCTGTTCCACTTCTGTAGCTAACACATATCACCACAAAGTTAAACAGGTCTTTGATTTTTAGGTATCCCAAGACCTGTAGGGTCTGAAAAGCAAACATATGTATTAAAGTAGTTTTCAAATCTTGTATTACCAGGACCCTAATTCTCCTTGCCGAGACTTGCTAGTTTGCACAGCATTCAGGTGAAATGGGTCTGCCACCCAAATCCTCACCAATATTAAGCACTCTAGTTTCCAGAGCCAGCTTTCAGTTGCATTTCGTGTATATGTGAAAGCAAACATAAAAAAAAAATAAAAATCAATGTAGCTATAAAAGAGCAGAAAAGGATATACAAGAATCATAAGCTAGGGCTCTCCTCAATCCAGACTTAAACACCAAACAAACTATAATCAATTCAGAGCACCCTAAGATGAAGTCAAAGAAATGTCTGAAAGACAGACTAATAATGATCTTATTTAACAGGGTCGTGAAGGCTCTCCTAATGATTCACAAATCAGGATCATGCCAAATGTTTCCACATGAATCATATTAACAAGTTAGTTGATCCTAAAAGTGAGAGCCAGGAACAGTATAACTGAAAAAGATATTCTAGGATGTCATGAAAGAAATAAAAAGTTCTTTCTTACCAGATTCCTTGGGAAATTGTTTCACACCCTCCTCTCCTTGTATGTTCTGACTGTGTGATATAATACAGGCTGGATACCAGGTATAATCTGGCTATAAGAAACAAAGAAAAATAAAAAAAATAGAATACAATAGAATAAAATACTATATAGTAGGCATCTGTAATACATTTCAATTTTAATCTCTTCAAGCTCAACCCCGCCCCCCTTCTGAACATGAAATTCCCTATTTCAAGCATGAAATAGCCGTTTCACATGTGAAACCAGCTATTCTATGCATCCTTCAACTCATGGGCAATTACTGGATATCAGCAAAAATGGACAAATCTGTATCTTAAACAGCTGGTTGGTACTCAAAGATGGGACATTTCAAACCAGAAAAGAGGTGCTTCAACTTCAAAACAGTTTGAACTGAAACATCCCTGCTGTATATTTTCTAGTGGAAACTTCATAGTTCTTCATAATGAATGGCAGCAATGTACAAATATAAGAAAGCATTAGTTGCTGAATGAGAAAGTTTACATTCTTGTGCTTCCTTGTACACAAATTTTGGCACAGAATCTGAGAATTCCAATTCTATCCATTTTTTTGGACAGAAGAAAATAGCTGGCAATTGTGGGCTACTCTTATTGCTTCCCTGCTCTGATTCTTCACATTTTATTAACTCACAGGTGGGACACGATGGTAGTTCTGAGGATGCTCATTTGCCACTGCTGATGGTGGGTACCGGATCTGCTGCCAGTCCTCAAAGCCATGATAGACATGTGGTTGGACTGGAGGAGAGCACTGAAACTGGTACACAGGGCAGATAGGGCTCATTTGCCCTGGCTGCAGCTCTGGGTGCAGTCTGTCACCTGAATGCTGCAAGTAAGAAAGCAGGAAGTTGAAACTGATGGAAGTTTGTGGAAATCCTAGTTCATAAAGGCTAATGATTTATCCCCTAATCAAAACAGGATGTTTTGGCTTGACATATGCCTTTTTATCCCCTTTTAAATTTTTAAAGTTTTTAAAACTTTTAAAACTTTTAAAGTTTTAAAGTTGGGGAAGGCATTTTTAGAAAAGCCTAGCCCAATGGGGGTCCCTTCAGATACGATTTTACCACAATTTTCATATCCCCAATCACTGGGTTGTTGCAAGCTGAGTCATCAGGAAGGACCCAAGGAGGCTGTGGTAGATCTAACGGGATATCAGTCCAAAAAGGGGGTCTCAGTATACACCAGTTCCAGGCTGTGAATCTGGCAAAGTCCTGTCTTTGTGGAGTGCTGTGGAGCACCTCACCTCCTTCACCAATACAGGCCTTTCAAAAAACAATAGTTTGAACTCAGATGGAAAGTCACATTAAATTTGTTCTTCCTATTCCTTAGAAAAATCAATGAAATGCAGGTATTTTATTACATAAAAGGAGGAAGACACAAAAACATTTCCCTACCAAAGTACAATACTGACAATTTCTCATTAATTTAGCCAAACCAAAGCAACAGTTGGAATTTCAATCCAATGAAATTTTAGGAAGGAAATGGCATCTATCAGACAGATTGTGGGTCAAGTAGTTAAAGCCCCCAAGGATTTCCATTTCAAGATAGCTTTGGGACAGACATCTCCCTGCATGTTAATGTCTTCATATGAGGAAAGGAACAGCTTTAGCACAAGTACTGATATTACAGAAAGGCTGGGTTTCCATATCATGCCAATCCAAATCTATATAACACACATTATGGCAACTGTGAGACTCCCATATTTTTTAAAAAATATTGCTTTTAAAAATGGATGAAATTTCACAAATCAACAAATCTTGCAAGATTCTGGTGTTCTCACACTTGAGATTTCATGAGATTTTAGTGATCTTCCCTTCAAAAGCTTGGGAGATTTCAGCTACTTTTTTAGAAAATAATATTAAGTGCCCAATGTATGTAAAATTCCTTGCTTAGCATAATGCATGAAAGCAGCCAGTATTTGCTGAAGTAGATTATTCTGCAATTTCTTAC